GCTGGCTCGCCCGCTCGCTCGACACGGCCGTCATGGCTCCGCCAGCTACGCTCGCTTGACACGGCCGGCATGGCTCCGCCAGCTACGCTCGCTCGACACGGCCGGCATGGCTCCGCCAGCTACGCTCGCTCGACACGGCCGGCATGGCTCCGCCAGCTACGCAGCACGAGACAAGTCCCCCCCAATGTCCCCCCCCATGTCCCTCCCGTCGCCGCCTGCGTTCGACTTTGCGATCCCCAGCACTTGGGAACAATGAATTACAGTCTTCGAAGACTTCGGCTTCGCTTCGGGACTACACCTAGCCGCCGACGAAGTCCAGGTACGGACTCTTCTCCACCTCATGGGCTCCCACGAGGCTCGGCGCGTACTCGAGACATTCGGCCTGTCTTCGGAAGCTCTACTGTCCTTCGACGCCGTCAAAGAAGCCTTCACACGCCACTTCGTGCATCCTACCAACGAGGTATACGCAAGCGTCGTGTTTCATCGTCGCATCCAAGAACCCGGCGAAAGCGTGGACGCGTTTTTCACGGGGCTCCCGGCGCTCGTCAAGAAATGCGGTTACGCGTCGACAGCAGTTGAAGACCGACTCGCAAGGGACCACTTCGTCGTGGGGCTTCGCTACAAGGGCAGTCGTCAACAAACTTTGCCGAAGTCGCAAGCTATCGCTGGACGAAGCCCGCCTCCAGGCTCGTGTCCACGAGGGCGCCGGGCGTGCACGTGACACGCTCTTCGCACAGTCTGTTCCTGGCCACGTGGTCGCCGAGACACGCAAGCACGACTCCGAGGGTCGACAACGCTCCGGGGAAAAAAAAGCGCAAGAACACACGCACTGGCAAGCACGCGGCCCGCGACAAGCACGGCAGCGACAACCTCTGCCGTTACTGCGGCCGCACCGCTCACCCCCGTGCAACCGCCGCAAGCGGAAAGCTCACTACGCAGCCGTTTGCGAACAGCGGGACCGACTTGGCTCTCTTCAGCTGCACGCGGTGATGCCGCGCCCCTTAGCCAAGTTCACGCAAGTCTCCGTCGACGGTCACTCCGTGAACTTCGAGGTCGACACCGGCGCCGAAGTCACAGCCGTACCCGAGACTTTTCCAGGCCTCCCTCCACAACTTCAACCGGCAGAAGGACAGCTCACGGGACCTTTGGAACACGGCCCGAAACTGTCGACGGGCCCCACGAGCTCCTTCCGACCGCACGGGTATGACGAACACGGCTTCTCCTGGATACGGGTGGCAGAAGCCGAAATTATTTCGAAGATAAATTATGTGCTTGTGTGTGGAGCGGCAGAGCATAAAGCAAAAGAGACGGCGACGTTATAAAGTCGCTTCGAACGTTTTAATATTTCTAGAAAGTTTGAAGGCTCGCTTCGGGCACATATGTGGAAAGCTAACTGCGCCGATCTATTTATTGACCATGCATGCTTGTCCGACTGAAATTAAAGACGACATTCTTGAACCCGCTTGTCGACTTAGGAAATTCTCAAATTTGTCAGAAATTCTGTGGTTCCGACTCGCAGCGTGAAACGGAAGCTTCGCCGATACCGGCACACCGTCATTCGATAGCACGTCAGTTCGTTTTTAGGCGGTATGCACAAACAAAGCTTTCCCGCAACACTTCACTCATATGTTTCGGCTTTCCAATCAAAGTATCTTGATTCGCTGGGCTAAGCAGCAGCGTTCCGACTGTCTTCTCATCTCAACAAATTTTCTGTCGCTGTGCGGTCGGCACGCTACCGTTCGATGGATGAATTTGTTTTCAGCCGAGATAAATGAACAAAGCTTTCCCGCAACGCCAACTGATGCTTCGACTTTCCAATCTCTGGTTCAGACATCTGCAACGAGCGCGTTATCTACGACTGCGAGTCCGTTTCGGATCGGCGCCCTCGGGCGCCTTCGCGTTTGCGCCTCCTTTATGCGGCTGCGCGATGCTGCGATTAGCGTCGCGGAAAAGGTTTGTTCATGCTTCTCGCCTGAAAACGAACTGCCGTACTGTGTATTGAATGACGATGTGCCGGTATCGGCCACATCGACAGCTTCCGTCTCGTGCTTTTAGACGGAACTACGAAATATCCGACAAGACTGAGGATTTCCTCCGTGGACAAGCGGGTTCAAATATGTTGATATCTTAAATTTATATCTGAAGAGCATGCACGGTCACTAGGTAGGTCGGCCGAGGTAACTTTTCACCGATGTGCTAGAAGAGAGTCCTGAAACGTTTCAGAAATATTAAAACGTTCGTAGAAACTTCATAACGTCACCGTCTCTTACTCTGCCGCTCCACACAGGCCTAATTAATTTTTCGCTTCGAAATCATTTCGGCTTCTGCCAGCCGCATCCACAAGATGGCGGGTTCGCCATAACCGTGCGGTCGGAAGGAGCTCGTTCGGCTCGTCCCTAGTTTCGTTATTTTGCGCTCCTGTACGCCATGCGTCGTGTAGTTGCAGCGCTCGGAATATGAAACTCGGACCGGTCAGATAAAGGTAAAGGAGGGCCGAATTCACGCGCCTAAGGATTGCGCTTTTCCCGCTGAACGATGAGCTTCCACTACGCCAACCACGTCGACGATCACCACCGACGCTATGTGTGCAGATAGCAGGAACCGCGACCGGCACCACCGGCATGCAACGCGCTCACCTGTGATTGTCTGTCGGTGTGGTCGCTCCCTTCGTTCCCGAACTCGCCTCTGTTACGTCACGGCGCGGTGGTGGCGCGTCGGACGCACGTCCGGTCTGAGGCTGTGGGCGGAAGCGGCCATGGGGCACGTGCATTATTGTGTTACTTCGGAAGAAACCGGACAAAACTTGCCTTCTTGTCAAAACGCCGCGACTGAGCCTTTACCAAAAGGGTCGGGAAAGGTTTGAAGGTCTGTTTTTATGCGTTTTCTGCCTGCTCGGTTCGTCAGAAAACCTGAACAGGGGCCGCGAAAAAGGAAAAACAGACGCCGTCGGACCACGATTGCTTGGGCGGAAAGCACTTAGGATTGAATTCACGGATACTTGTGATCGTCAGATTTATTTGTTTTGTCCCAGAATGAACGCGGAAAAACCGCCAACTTGCACCGTAGTGCTGCTTAGTTGCCATTAATGCAGGGACTGTGGGCTCGTCAAACTTCTAAGCGCAGCGTTTTTTTTTTCACAGACCCTCCATTTGTATTTTTACAAGGTGGAAAAATAAACACATAAACACAAACGGCCGCCTCATCGTTCGAGCTCTCGTCTACTCACTCAAACGCGAAAATGAGCGCGGGGACTCACACCGACGCCGACAACATTCCATTCTAGTGGTTTGTTTATGGGCGACAGCGAGCTTCTTGCCAACACTCCCATCGTGCATGCGCGGCGCCGGTGGCGTCCGCCAGGGGCGCTCCGGTTCGCTTGTGAACATGAGTTAGGAAAACATTCAGCCCTGCTCAACTCCTTGCGTTGCGAACGAACACGAACGAAACGGCAGTTTGGCACTTCGCTGGTATGGAAACTCGTCGTTCCAACCGGTTACATTCGTTCGTAAGCGTAGTGGTCGCTGCGAACGCAAGTGTGTGAACGGGCCCACTCCTGTCCGTTCAGTGAAGGGAGCGCCAAACTCTGGCGCTCTGGAGCACGGACTTAACGCGCCTATTATTCACGCGAAGTTTTGCTGTGTAACGAGCCATGGTCATTTCACTGAGGCCGCTCAACTAGTCAGACATTGCCAGGAGGATCTGGAATCAACAGTTCAAACGCGAAAAAGAGCACGGGGAGTCACACCCACGTCGACACAAGCGTCGCTATTCACCTCCTGTAGAAGATCGTAGTAGATTAACCCGTCCTTCAAAATTCTTACAAGGACAGCTTCCCTCTCCTCCTCTTAAATGGTGGTCAAAGGTATGGGATGTGACGTCAGTGCAAGCGATGTATATAAAGGGCACCGCCACGGTACAGACATTAGGATTTGTTCAGCATCCATCCATCTATCTGAGCCCATGGCGCGCTTTTTCCATTTCGCGGCTCCTCTATTTCGCGCCCTCTTTGACCGCGGCTACGCTAAAAATCGTCAAGCACTTCAAGATTCCTGCCATCAACGGTTGTTCAACTGGCATATGAACGATCGACGACGAGCGGGAGCGACGTAAGTACAGTTTTATTCTTTATTGCGCTGCCTATGAGTCGAGATCTGTGAGGTTCCTTTTCGAGCTCGTACTTTTGAAGCAATAAGCACTACTCCATGCACGTGATTGGCTTTTCACTGAATTTTTTTCGTCTTTACAGCATACATTTCCTTAAGTTGTCGCACGGTGATCAGCCAATGCCTCGCATCTGACCTCTAAATTTGGTGACGGCTTCTTGGCGCTCTGTCATGATATATTTAGGAAGGTTAGCGGCAGGTAGATGTTGGACACCACTTGATGAAGCAGTGTGCACAATGGACTGCACATTTTACACTAAAAGCTTACTGGGCATGATTAGATACAAGATTTCTTTGGCAGCGGCGGCAGCGGAAGGTTGCAGAAGACTCCCGTACTCCTGTTTACAGACTCATCTACGATCCTGTCCCGAACGAACCGTCAGCTTTTTGGGATAAGCTGCCATGGATTAAACCAAGACAGGCTGGCAGAAAAATGTCAGCACCACAAGCAGCTGAAGGGAGCCTTCGAGAGGCGACACTTTCTTTGTCAGCGGCGGCAGCGAAAAGTTGCAGGAAACTCACGCCGTTCTCCTGTTTACAGGTTGGGAACAAATCGTTTTATCGCATATCCGTTTCTCTCTTGTAGCGCGGACGCTGCTGCCACTTGGTGTTTTGCTCTTCTGCGTTCTTGTTTAGTAAGTTGTACAATGACAGCAGACTTCGCTAAATTCTGTGAAAACATTAAAACAGAGTTATGGCAAGAACTAAGAGGCTTTCGTTGTGCTTTCGAGAGAGAAATGTGAAAAGAACTCGGAGTGATAAAGGTCAGTCTCGAAAGTTTCAACCAAGTTTTTTTTTCAGAAAATACGGGTTGAGAAGAAAAAAGAAAAAAAGAACATGATAGTTTGGGAACCGAAAACGCTCATCTTCGCGAAGAATGTGCAACCTCAAAAAAACAAGCTAAACCGAATGAAAGTCGGCTACCGCTGCAAGCAATACTCTCTAAACCACAACATAGAAATCCAGAACGTTCCGCCGGTGACGAATGAAAATCGATCGGAAGCTGCGAAGAAAATTGATAAGTTGACTGACGAACCGACTGCTCCGTGCGATATCGACATATGTAATCGCGTAACGGCAGGCAATTCGTCGTCATGCCCGCTTGGCATGACACTTGCAAAGAAGAAAACTCGGGTGAAAATTTGTGTGGACAGATCTTCGCCTATGGTACAGTATAAACATAAATATAACACGTTTACAGCAAACCTAAATGCCTTCGACTAATATTTTAGAGGTTGGAAAAGAACTTGGGTAAGTTTGTACCAACATAGCTGGGAAAGCCATGCTTGTGGTTAACCCAACTATTCTCTTGATGTTTCACGCAACGGGAGTGCTAGTACTTCGAAAACCACGAGCCATTAGCTCGTGGTTTTTGAAGTAACAGTACTCATTTTTGTCTATACATTGAAAGTTCCTTTGAAATAGGCTGCGTGCGAGCCATTAGCGCATGCCGCTTTGGAGCAGGTGTTCACGGTTCACACCACCCAACTGCTTCGCCCTTTACATTTTGCTTCTTCAGAAAACTCTGTTTGCTTCACTTTCTAACATGCGGATTTTTCGTCCCTCACGTGACTTCCCCTAGAGCCAGTGAATGTTCTCCGAGTTCCGCACGACATCGGCCGTGGCTGGGCGCCTCGGCGCTCTAGAGGAACTAAGCGAGAAATAAAAAAACGTGCGCGTACTAGAACTCTGAAAACGTGGTGAGGTACAGTACATTTATACAGTTCGACGAAACTCGGAAGGCGATCGGACAAAAAAGAAGAAGGCTATTTATGGTTTGTCTGCCCTACTCAATCTGATTGCAGAGTGCCACCACACCGTAGCCGTCGATATTCAAGCACTGCTCCGCCGTTCCGAACCGAAGCATATGAGGTTCTTCTACTCTTGGATCATTCAGTGGCTCTAGGTTTACCGTGGCCAATTTCGGATGTCTGGTGCGCCAAGGGCAGGATGGCCGCCTCAATTTGAAGTGCGCTGAAAGTGTCTCTGCTATGTCACTGTGCAGGGAACCAGAGAAAACGAACCCAATTCTGGTAGACCGCTAACAGTAAGTTTATCTCTGCCATTCGACCACGCTGAGAGAGATCTGAACGCCAAGCTGAAGCCTCAGCTTCAGTCGATCTGTGCGTCGCTCAAGCTGAACAGCGAAGTCACCGCCACCAATGTTACCATTCTGAACAGCCTGTTGGACGACATCTTAGTTCAGATGAAGCGGAAGGATCCTCTCTTCCATCTGCTTTTCAAGAGGTGAGGAAATTGCCCTTCTTTAGTGGGCTTTAGGTAGACGGTGGAACTAGGCAATTTGATAATCAAAGCCTCATCCTTTGCAACCTAAAAGATGCAAAAATAAGTGTCTGCTTTCTCGTGTTGAGAAGGCAGAAGCTTTCTTTTTAGAAGAGAAGGATAGAACTTCTTTCCTTCGTCTCAATACGCTAGTCTTCATAAAACTGTTTGTCCTTAAATAGGGAACACTCTGGTTCCCATGCCCTTGAAAACGTTGCGTGCGTTATTGAGGACCTTTTAACTTTTTTTTTTCTTAAATTCCTTTCGCAATTCTTTTCCGCAAGATGTTTTTTTTTTTTCGGGTTTTGTTTTTCAAAGGGAGGACCAAGAAAGAATCAATGTGCAGGATTTTTTCATATCTTATTTAATGGGAGCACAAACAGCACTTGCAAGCTGTTCCTGTTGAGAAGCATCAAATGCGAATATTGAGGAGGAAATGTCGCCTTTCTTTCATTCGATTTCACTTTGACATGCCAGCGTCTGCGACCCTCCGGGGATCTTCGATTCTGAACCGAAGGTACTTTACAAAGCTTCTTCATCGGCTGATAATCTCCCATCATCCGAACTTATTTTTGAATAGTGTGAAAAAATCTTAACCTAAATAGCCAACGCTCCGATTGCCACTATCGTCCCAACAGTTGACATGAGAAGCGACAATTCCGGGCGTATCAGGTGCGCGAATTATCTTGCTTTGAAAATATAAATAGCCACAGCAAAGCAAAACACCGTACGAGGGGATCAAGTGGGATAACGCGTCTCACCTCGGAGTGTGAAGTGAAAACTTGCGCTGGGAACCTCCTGGGTTCGATTCCCCACCGCCCCCGCCCGTTTCGATCTGAATGAGTTTCGTACCGGCACACGTTCATGTAATCACTAGTGCGTGATGCACGTTAAAAATCCAAGGTTAGCGGTTGTACTCCACTGGCTAAATTTCTCATCTACAGCTAAGAGACCGATTACCCGTCGTGGCGTATCTCCATCAAGGCTGTATAAACATACAAAGCAAACCAATTTCTTTTTAACACCGTACACCTGTCGGGTTGCACATGGTATGGCGGGGAATTTCAAATATGAAATCACCACCTCATGTACGGCGACAACTGTCAAAGGACTAAAATCAAGTGGGAACCATTGATTGAGAGCACACAACCATTCGTAAGGACTCATATTTCTATCTGCTGCTTCCCAGGCTCGAATTCTCCGGAAGCTACTATGACGGGCTGCGGATCAAAAAGGCAGACGAGTTTGACATTGACCTTGTGCTGAACCTACCTTTCGAGAAGGACGAATTCACCGTAAGTTTTGCAGCTGCACCGGTGACAACCATCGTTTATTATTAACTAATTTTTTACGTATATTGACGGTATCATCGGATTAAAGCAGCGGGGTGAAGTCATTCGTGGTCATCCGCAACTAAACAGACGTTTTTTTTTAATATATATAAGGGGACAATCACTTACTAGCGTGTTTATTGAGTCAACATATTGACCATAGGCCTGTCCTTTCAAAGTTTTTTTTTGTGTGTGCATTTAGGTGTTAGTGCAGGTTACCCTACAGTAATATTTAACCCGTTGTCTCACATTATTGTACCAGTCTGCAGAAAGATACAACATGGCAGTTGACAAATGAAGTGTCGGCTTCACTAGAATCGGTTGTCTTATTTTGTGCGAGTCAGGTTGCTGTTGAATAACCAAGTCACCTTTCTGAAAGGCTATTTCGAGATAGAAAAGGCTTAAGAAAGAACCCAATTAAAGGACGAGCTACGTGCTTTTAGAGCGTAGCTCTTAGGCGCCAGGTTCCGGGCGACGCGGTGTCGGCCTAACCGCGCTAAATTTAGCAGGAATATTAAGTTCACGTGACCTCAAAAGCAATTCAATTCAAATTTAGCGGGGAATTGAATTGCTGTTGCGGTCGCCTGGCATCAACTTTTCAGCTAAATTTGGCGGGGAAACTGTGGGAGGAGGGAAAGTCATGGAGAAGAAAGAGGGGCATACCCTCCCCCCCGTATCCTCCCCCCTCCTCCTCAAGAGCTGCGCTCTAATTTCGGGGTACAGGAATTTGTAAACGTCCTTCAATTTAGAGCGCAGCTCTTAGGCGCCCGTTTCCGGCTTGAGCGGCGTCGGCGTCGCCATCGCCGTCGTCGTAACCAAGGTCACCCCAAGGTCACGTGACCCCCCGAGGTCACGTGACCCCCACATGACCCCCCAAGGTCACGTGACCACCAGGCCACGTGACATCCCAAGGTCACGTGACCCCCGATGTCACATGACAACCCCCCCCCCCCCCCGAGGTCAGGTGACCCCCCGGAGCATATTAAAGGGGTACTCCGCCGTTTTCTTCATAGTTCCCGATTTGCCTAAAAGCTTGCTAGACACACCAACAAACATCGCTGAACTAGTAACCCAAATATTTGGACAAAATAACTTTTTTTCGTGCAGTTACAGAATTTACAATTTTGGACCTCATCGTGTTTTCCAAAGTGAAAAGCTCTACGGGCAACATTGAAAAAGTGACGTCATGGTTGGGTAGGAGTTCACTCTTTGGGCTGTAGACTTTGTTCACATCTGATTACAAACAGTTTCATAATGTCAAATGAATGCTTTGGAAGGTCGCTCCAGCTCCCGCGCAGCAGCACGATACAAATGCTCGGCATAGTTCATCTTTAGACTGCCCGCTCGAACCGCAATCCAGCCCAACCGTGACGTCAAGGCAATGAAAAGCGCGGGTATATTCGAATCTTCGTTTTGGCGTCGTTTTCATTTGCCGATTTCACAATAACTATTCTGAATTTCGCGATACTAAATAGCCTACCGAAAAGAGTAACGGACGGCGATTTCGAATATATGGTTAGTTGGGGTTGCTCAATACATCGCCGGAGTTCCCTTAAAGGGACAATGAAGGCAATTTCGGAGATCTTTTTGGCGATTGAACTGGGTTCCAGGCACGTCTCAGGCCTCGTTGCCAAAATTTCAGCCGAAAGCGGCGCTTGTGTGCCGCGCAAATCAATTAAACAGTCGCGGTAATAATCTTACCGGGATCGACTGGGGCGACGCCCCAAGAGTTGCGGGAGAAGCCAGGAGAAGCGGAGCTCACGTGACCGATGCGGAGCCAAGAAACGCGACGTCACAAGAGACGCGTCAGCGATTGGTCGAAACGAGAAACTTGACCTCGGTCACGTTTTGGTTCGCGATTTTTAGAAATACTGTTCTAATTTCCGCTTGAATAACCATCAAAAGTATTAATCGGATCGGAAATGATTACTAAACCGTAAATAAAGCAGCATCATTGGTTTTTTTTCTTTGCTACGCTGGACGCGAAACCGTCAACGAGCAACTATGGGCAACAAAATAAAATTAAAAAAGAACACTGTACTCGAAAGATTTTTGCAAAATGGTAGCTGTAGGTAGCTGTTCCAACGGTCGACTGAAGACCAGTATTCGTTCGGGCGACGCTAGTTTTCATGTGTGGGTTGCTGTTCGTGTTCTTTGACGACGAAAAGAGGACGTCCGCGGAGGAACCGGATCCCGGAACGGCGGGATCGTTGCCGCTTTCCCCTCGGCATCTCCCCTGCGTCCGTCCTTCGGCATGCGGGCCGCTCGTTGCCGGCTGGGCGGTCTCCGTCGGGTGATGGCAGATGCCGCCACACACATACTCCCGTTCCGCTGGTGTTCGGTCACTGAACGGAAGCTCGAACTTGCTCGCGAGAGCGGCATTCGTCAATGTTGACAAAGTCGGCGAAACGACCGCGGCACCGCGCTGCTACAACCCACCGCGGTAACCAGAGTCTCGATCTCCTAAATAATACCGATACCTACTATTCACACTTGACGTCACTCCCGTCACCTCCGTTTTCGGAGGCCCAGAAACGAGAATGGAGATTGTTCAGTTTCGGTTTCTTTACTTCTTTCGTAGGCACTTAAATACGCGTCACAAATGTCTACAAAAAATAGGGCAGCATGCTATGTTCCCAAGAAGCATTAGAGCACCATTTAAAAAAATTAAATAAAATTGTATTCATTGTCCCTTTAAAGAATAAGGGGAGGAGGAGGAGGAGTCTACCCTCCCCTCACTACCTTCCTCCCCCTCCTCAAGAGCTGCACCGTAATTCGGCGTTACAGGGAGTTGTAAACGGCTTTCACTTTTTTTTAAAAGGAAAGATTGCTTGCCGCAGGATACTTATGACGTCGCTAGCCCTTCATGAACGCTTTGGTGATGATTATGATATGGTCCCTTACAGAGTGAGAACGGCAGGGCATGTTGTTCGAATGCCCAACCTCCAGCACATGCTCCATGCCTTCCACAGTGCTTTGGCTGCACGTGCGCGCAAGAAGTGCACAATACGTTGAAGTATTGTAGAAGGTAGAAAGCAGGCGCTGGAGACGAGACAGGCGAAGCTCATCCTTTCCTTTCTCACCTCGTCAGTGGCCGTACCTTGCGGAACTACGTACCAGGTACGTCCTCTGAACGACGTCAATCGCACCTTCCAGGCGTCGGACGGATGTCCCGGACACGTCGGCTACGAAGTCAGTCCGGCAGCCGTGGACAGGCTGCACCGGGAAGGGGACGCCAAGTGGGTTCCGCTTTTACTGGATTTGATGGATGGCGAGAGGAGGCTCGTTCCAGAGAGGGTCACACAATGGCTCGAATCGGTTCTCGGCTCTGTTCTCCGGACCTACGTCGTCTCCTCTGGGCCCTGCTGGGCCATTGAAAAGGTGAGGGCTGTCCGCGGAAGTTGTGGTTGGGCCTTCGGATTTCACAAGGCGCGAGTCGGTTTTTCTATGTGCGTTCTGTAGTGCTTCAGACCTCGAAACTTGGTTTCGACGCACCCTATAGACCGTTGTTGCCTTTGCTGAATTCAGTGTAACAACTTTGATCACTATCATCATCTTGGTGTACGCCAAACTAATGGCGGACTCATTGAGACCGATGAAGAAACAAGTTGAACAAAGTACTACCAAGTGGAGGACATACGAGGCCTGTACGTGCGAGATTTCAGTATAACAAAGAACACGAATTAAATAAAATGGCTGCATAACCCTTTTTTTCGGGGTGTGGTCCCAGCACTCTCTTGACACATGTTTAGCTCCCTTTGATGGCATAAATTGAATCGAGGGGCTCAAGGATCAGTTCTTGTGTTCGCATGATGGAAACCGAAACAAATCAAGAAATAATTATTCTCACGTGCCACTGACGTGCAAAAGTGACGCAGTTTTATGACCACCATCAGTATGTCGAAAGGGAAACTGCTTTCTAAACCCCCAGATGGCACTGAATTTCGAAAAGATTCTATTTAACGAAACTTTATCTCATCCCGAGACTTCGCACCCCACACGTCACTGCGTTCCTCTGAAAGGTCGTGTGACGCTCGCACGCCATTGGATTGCCTTCAACGGCTTGCAGCATTCGTTGCGGTCTGTCCTAAGATGAAACGTGGTACAGTGCAATCCATTTATGACCACACCACATTTAACAATATACCGCCGATAACGATCAGTTTCTAGTCCAGATACAACGATTATAACGATTAAAATTTCGGGTTTTCTCACTATCGTTACAATTGGGTTGCATTGTATAGACGCTTTCAGCGCGCGCCAGATTGAGCCGCCATAGCCGACCTCTCTTGTCTTACCGAGATACCGAGGCGCTCAAGCGGGCATTTCGTGCCTCCACAAAGACCTACGCCGGGGAGAAGGACAGAGTAAAACTTACAATGGCAATAACCTGAAATTTGGCTGAAGTTATGCATGCTTAAATTAAGTTAAATTTCCAGCTGGGACAGGCTCAAAGTTTTATTTCCCGAGAGGAAGGTGGTCTATTGAGCCATTAAAAATTTTTCGTTTGTGAAAAAAAAAAAAAAAAAGATGGAGGGAGAGGATTGTTTTTTACGTTTGTTTTTTCAGATACGGCTGAGGCAGCACGGCCCTGCCGTGACACTTTATATCAAACTCAAAGATGGCAACCAGATTGACGTGGACCTCGTGCCTGTGATAGAATTTCGCCACCCTAGTTGGCCCACAGGCGTTCAGAAAAAAGGCTGGATGGCTAATATGCTACCAGAGGTGAGCATTTGTAGAACATTTTGAGTTTAGTCCTGGATGTGTACAGCTTTGTCATTGCTCTCGACTGCCGCCCTGACAATAATAATAACATAATAATAATAATAATAAAAACAGACACGCGAGCTTGACATCAGAAAGGCGTCAAAACGGTCGAGCGACTCTTGTAGTAAACTTCTTTGGGGAGACAGGTGGTATTGATAATGCAAATGAATGTAAGGTGCAAGCGATCTTGTCTAAAGTGACGATGCTATGAATATTTACCAAGAGAAACGGGATGGGTGACCTCCGGGGCAGGGCGCCCTTAGGCCCGCTTTAGACAAGAAAACTTTCCCAGCAATTCCGGCGTTGCTGGCGAGCAGTTCCTCTGGCTATCCCCAGTACAAGACGAACTGCTAAGATCGCGTCCGGCTCAAAACGGACGAGCCACTCAGACAACTCGGAGATGTTTGAACCAGCAGCAGGCGATTAAGGACACAATATTTTCACGTGACACCCCGTGCCGGTGATGATGACAATCAAAGAATTGGTTCTGGTTTGAAATTGATCGGTTTTGGGAATAAGCTCTTTCAAAAATATGAGTTAGGATTCTCAACGCTCTTTAGAGGTGTAAAAACACTTTTGTAGCTCATAACTATGTATTGCATTCTGCACTATTGTCCAGCTCGCTTGCACCTTTCCATTTAATTGCATATTAATTAATACCTTAAAAATGCAAGTCGTTCGCCCTGATCGGTGTTAGTCTAGTGGCAGTTGACAAAACCCGTTTGCTCTGCTGACGTCTAACTTCTGGTTAGCTCGGCTGGCAGACTGCTTCATTGGAAATGGAGAGGTCCCTGGTGCGATCCAGGAGCTGGCGGATTTCTTAGGTCGCGCGCCAGTCACCTAGCTTTGTTTGGAGATGCTTGCTTGCTTAGCCTCCTTGTCATTTTGATAAATCAAACTTCTTACCTGTAGGAGCCAACCTTCCCTGAGATTACGAGTCACACAGAATCACACAGAAATGACCAGGGGTATGGAAGGTGACGCCATGACTAGAGATGAGAAGAATATATGACACACGCCATGCAATTGGAACTGTGGAGCTTATCACTGGCTGAGACTACAAGAGCCCAGCGACCAGATTACCTAACTCACTCTTGATTAGGTATGAAGTTGACTAACGTGGAAGTTTCGGGCTAGTTGGCATTTCATGACTAAAAATTAAAACAGCGCGAGGACACGGAGGAGAACAAGAAGGTAGGTGAACAAGGCGCTTGTTCGTCTACAAGAACAATATGGTAGACGAACAACGCGCCTTGTTCGCCTACCTTCTTGTTCTTGTCCGTGTCCTCGCGCTGTTTTAATTTTTAATCTTGATTAGGACTGACGGTTTGTTGTTTTCTCTTATTAAAGTTTAGAGCGCAGCTCTTAGGCGCCCGTTTCCGGCTTGAGCGGCGTCGGCGTCGCCGTCGCCGTCGGCGTAACCGCGAGGTCCCGTGACCCCCCCCCCCAAGGCCACGGGACCCACCAAGGTCACGTGACCCCTAAGTTCACGTGACCCCCAGCGACCCTCCAAGGTCACCCCAAGGTCATGTAACCCCAAGGTCACGTGACCCCCAAGGTCACGGCTCCCCAAGTCACGTGACCCCCTCCCCGAGGTCACGTAACCCCCCCTCCCCCCGGTCACGTGACACCCCTCCCCCGAGGTCACGTGACCCCTCCCCCCGAAGTAAGGTGAACCCCCGGAGCATATTCAAGAATGAGGGGACGAGGTGGAGAAGGAGGAGGAGGAGGAGGGGTCTACTCTCCCTTTAGTACCCTTCCCTCCTCCTCCTCAAGAGCTGCACTCCAATTCGGCGTTGCAGGGAGTTGTAAACGGCTTTCCTTTTTTTTTTATCTAGAGTTCCTTGTTATTGCAGTGTTTACTTTTCTATCTTCTTTCCTACTGAAGGACTGCAACTGGTTCCTGATTCCCAAGCCTCCCATGTCCATGCCCAAGTCCCACCTATGGCGGCTGCACTTCCCGAATATGGAAAAGAGGCTCATCGAAGACAAGGGTTGTGTGAAGCCCATCATTCGCTTACTCAAGGTACCGTGAACACTCCGAGATGTACATGAGAGGACCTCCGTAGACGAAAACGTAGCTGCCATGGTTTTGGCAAGGGGACGCTGCCCCCTCTATTGAAAGGCGTTGCCATCTGTTTGGTGTGTATTAGCACTATAAGGGGAATCAGCACCATTTGAGTAAAGAAATATCCCTATAAAAATGAAAGGCTAAATAAACCTAGATTGTGTTTTGTTTCCTTTTTTTTTCGGGGGGAGGGGGGGGGGGGGTTCATGGACAAAAAACATTCTTTTTTTTTCTTTTTTTCTTTTTACACTTTAGATTATAGTTTGCCTAAAGAATGAAGTCGGCGGTCAATCGTTATGTCGCAGTGGTGAACTCGAGACAGTCTGTTGTCTCGAGTCGGCTTTTTTAAAATTACGCCTGTATTTGGGAACCCTTCGCGGATCTTTCTGGGTCGTGTTGGTCCGACAGCACATTCTCACGTGGCGTCGCACGGTGTCGCAAGACATCACAGTGCCATGCGACCTTTTGGTGTCACGTGGCACAAAGGTGTCACATGATATGGTGTGACATGTCATCGGGGTGTCTGTACCGCACGACACGATGTGACAATTTTCCCGTCAAATTTGGCGGAGAATAGCGCCATCTCCCATTCTTCGCGTTCGACTGCATGTCTAAGCGAGCCAATTTTCAATTGTCAGATCGCAGTGCCAGACTGGCGAACGAAAGTGTGACTGCCGAATTTTTCTCCAGGCCATGAGGGACTCGTACGGCTGGAATCTCTCGTCGTATTCCCTCAAGACGTTTGTCATGAGCCAGGTCCTGGAAAATGACGACGCGCAATATTGGCACCCTGACAACCAAGGGATGCTTTTCGTCAGGGTGAGCGGGCTGTTTCTTTGTACTTCCCCCGAGCGGCTGGTGTCGGCGCGCAAAAACGTGCACGGCAACACTGGGTGCATTTCGTTTGGTTCCCTTCCGAATGTTCGACCTCCAGGACGGGCCCTCTGCTTTCCGTCGTGCTTTGGCTGCGCAACAACGCGTGAGGCTCGCGAAATGCCGAAGCACAGTTGAAGACAGAAAGCTTCCGCTGGAGAGGGGAAAAAAAAAGTTTATTTACACCGGTGTTGAGGAATGGAAACCTCCCCATTTTATTCCAACTCCATTCCAGAGAGTTTCATTCCTCTAATCCCCAAACGTAAGGAAAACGGCCAGCCACTGACAGCCACCGTGCGTTACTGGAAAAAAAGGATCATAAAGCTGTTAACGTTAGAGAACGCGGAGACGAGTGAAAAAGCGTACGAATGCTTCCTCAAAGCGCTATTTCTACAAAGCCGAAGGGTTGTCGCACAAAGCACTTTGGGGCACTTGGTGTCACTGCAAACATCGATCGCGCGATCTAGCGAAAAAGGCTCGTGAGTGGCAACAAACGCCAAACATTGAAAACCACTTTTTTTTTTCAAGCGTTTGTTATACTTTACAGATACATATTTAGCATTTTGTTTGTCTGACAAGACCTTAAAAATGTCTAGTTTGTCAAGGGCTTTGAATACTTGCCCAACAGTACCACTCGTTCGTTCTTCCAAGCCACGCCGCGTATCTGCCAAGAAACTGAGGAAGATGAGAGAAGAGGGCGTGGTGACTTTAGAACGCCGAGTTCTGATTGAAATGATTAGTGATTAGACCTAAAGCTACCTGCCTGTGTCTTCACTACACTCGTGGAATGCATCAGAACGCGGAATGCCGGCGTCTGGCTTTTAACTTTCGCATTCACACGCGTTCGACGACTGCAGTGAAGACAAGGGCAGCAGCTCTGGGTCTATCCTCTAACCTCTCCAATCAGGGCTCGGTGTTCAGACGTCCCCCCGCGCTCTCGTCTTCTCCACTCCCTCAGTTTCAGGGCGCATACCTTTCCCAAATCTCCATGCACTGCAGCAAGAAAAGAAAACCGCTGACAAAGTGCGATCGGTACACAGCGCCAGCACAGGAGACTAGCACCCTATTATGAAGCGCGCCTGAAAACGTGAACGTTTACGTTTGCTGCACGGTGCTTGCTATTTCCTAACATATTCCGTTCAATTCTTTATGTGTGTTCCATGCAAGCACTAGAATACCGGATTGTTAAAAAAAGCGGGGAGTCGAAACGGTCATTAGTCTGGTTCGGTTTGCGTTCGACTTCAGTAGCTTTGCATTTTGTTCCGGTTCCGTTCTGGTTCAGTGATGCTTTTCAAATAATGGTTCGGTTACCGGTTCCACCCAGCGCGAACCAATTCAAACCGGTTCAAGAAACAAAAAAAGTAAACTTTCAGTCAGTGAGAAGAAAAGGTGAATTCAACACCGCGTCATCTGCATTAAAAAAAAATAGTTCATCGGAAGATCTGCTGCAGAAACGAGGGAAGGAAAACAAATGTGTGCTTAATTTAGCTTTGTGGTCTTTACCTTTTAATGGAAATGCCGTTATATGAAAATTACGTCATTGTACAGGCACTTGGAAATCCTATTAAAGTACAGTACTCGCATGTGAAGTCAATCATCCAGCACGCACTGTGACACCGTGAGTCGTGAGGGTAGCACGCACCGTACTCGCAAACTACCCTGAAAAACAAATTAGTCGTATAGTTGTTTAAACAACATGAGTTTCGTCCGTCACACTATGGCGACATTGTTACCCACTGTAGACGAGAAATTTAGCCAACGCAGTACGATTGCTGAATGTAGGTCTTTTAACGGGTATCACGCAGTCGATACACTACCGCACGCCGGCAATGTTCGTCCAGGTTTAAACGGCAAGCTATACCCACACCGTACGCCCGAATGACTTGCTCGAACGACAGAGTTGAAGAGCAGAAAAACAGCGAGGTCCAGTCGAGAGACTGTGAAAACGAAAAGGAACATAAACGACAACAGGCGGCTTGTTGTTTCTGGAAAAGCACACAGAAAAAAAACTTTCTTCAAGCAGCGTCCAGAACTTTGGGCGACGTCCCGGCCATCGGCGCCGCAGTAATGCGGCTTCGCCTCTCGGCGCCTACAGATTTTGCCACCGCAGACCGAACGCGCTGAAAGCCGTCAATTTTTTGTTTTATTTTCATGTTGAGACTCGCCTTCTTCTTCCTTGAGGAATATTGCTTAGCAGAAAGTTGTGCACAGGCGCGCACTCCAAAATAATGGAACTTTAACCTCTCGTCAGTCAGATGTACTCACCTCACGATGTACTGCGATGGAAGCTACGAGCTCCACTAGCCAATCAACAGTTTCTAGTCTCGTGACTTAGCGATCCCCACGTCGATCCTCCCAACTAGTAGGACACGAGACACCCTCCGAGCTATTGTTGGCTCTGGTGACTTGTAGCATCCTTTGCGGTCCGTCCTAAAACGAAGCATAGAAGTGTACGCCACCACATATACTAGCCCAGGCGAGTTCGTGATGTACATAGAAATGAAATATGCTTATTTTGTTTCATTATTACTGAGCTGTTCCCATTTCATTACTGCCGTTTGTTTGGTCAAACTAAGCCGCTGATGCCACCGTCAGGAATATTTAATTGACTTCGCGTCGCCACCCGCAAGAAGGCGCGGATCACACTTTATTAAGCCAAACCGTTTCCAATGAACCGGTAACTGCCACATGAGATTACGGTTCCGTTCTATTTATGGTTTAATATCAAATGTTCGATTTCATTTGCAGTTTTGTTCTGGTTCAGCTAAAAGTAACGGTTTTTCTCCGGTTGTTGGTTCGACTCCTTCGTTAAAGCGACATGAGAATCGCGCGACTACAACAGGCGCTTTGTCGCGTCTTGCGGCACCAGGAACGACATATTGACCGTCTACAACTATTCAGTTTTGTTTGCTCTACTGAGGGCGCTGCCATTTTCTTCCTAGAATGATCATTAAACCGGTGAGACAATGAAGCCGTCGGTCACCTCCAATGCGATAATGCTGTTTCAAGAGCCATTTACTATGCGCTACCAAACTGTGCCATCAGCCGAGCCTATTCAATTTCTATTCAATCCCGGGTAAAATGCATCTAATTGCATTTCCATTCCATTCCCCCCAGTGCTGCCCCCACTTCATTTGTTTCCGTGGTCGCGAAAGTGCGGAATCATTCCGGAATCATTCCAACTCTGGAGTGGCAATCCCGCAGCACTGATTTGCACTGCCCATGTCCGGGCAGTAAGGATTGGAATGTGAGACCTCTCAGGGCTGTATCCGGGGAGTGTCGATGGTCCCAGCTGGAGCCTGGTGGGATGTTGCACAGGCCCGGGAATACCTCACGTGGAGACGTGGAGTCGCGCTGGGTGGGTGTAACTGAATTGGACCATCTGCCGTTCTCAACATGTCAGTCATTATAGTCTGCATTGACTTAGGGGGCAGTCTGTAATAAAATGCATGCTGGAAGAGACAAAAACGGAGTCAAAAGTTAGTAGGATTAACAGCTAGGTGAAAGTAATGTTACAAGTAGTGTAAAAACATACTCGGGAGCTATAACATGCAGTCTCCTATACCCGTTAAGAATTGTACCGAGGAGTGGATGAGTTATATGGGTTGGTTCAGCAAGCCCCAGCTGCCGTAAACTTTAAAAAAAGACACGGAACAATTTTGTTTTGTTTTGTTTTACTTTTGCCAAACGCAGGTTGAAACGAATCCTTGACATTCATAAGTGGGGTTCAACGTTTTGAAAGTACCATAGAGATTAACCTGAAAAAGCAACCGCCAGGTTGATTTTGTCAAAATAGGGACGAAGGCGAAAAAGTTCAAAATGTCCTTGATTAAGTAAAAACACAAACTTCATGCAGGAAAAAAACACATCATTTCTTACGCATTGAAATGCGCTTCTCTCGACGCACTACGGCACTCGCCCAAAGAGCCGAAGAAAAAAACTAGAGACATTCGATCCCCTCGGCTCGCACCTGGGAGAGGAGACCGTGGGATCTGCTTGAATTCTGGACTCTTGTTTCTTTGTCCCGCCCAAGGTCCTGGATTGCCTGGGACACGCCCTGGCACAACCGGGGCCCGCCATTTCGTTCATCTTCCACCCGGAAGTGGACCTCACCGAGACGGTCACGAGAAAGACCAGGGATAACATCAGTGGCCAAATCAAAGGCATCGTGCGCAAGCTGTGGCTCTTCCCTGACCAGTGCTACGAGCTCGTCTTGAAGAACGAGCCGAAGGGCCGGCCTTCGTCAGACATTGTCGTGGGAGACGTCGTGTGGAACAACATATTACATGTTGCGTCGAACCATGTCTCACAACATTGTTCGACGCAACTGTTGATGTCTGCTAGTGACGTAGAAACTGACCTAGGCCCTGATAAGCTTAATGAAATACTAGTAGTTGTGAAGGAATCTGAGGAATCAAACAAGCAGTATATAAAAGAAACAATGGACAAACTAAAGGAAACAAATGCAGGCATAAGGAATATCAACAGCCGAGTTGCAAAACTTGAATCTATCATTGAGGTTGCAAAACTAAAAGAAGACCCTCTTGGGGTGAATGCAGCGATTCGCGAGGTGAATACTCAAGTAAACATTATATCTCGTCGAATACGTAAGAGCGTAGGAATACGTAATAGGCGTAAGAGCACGCTTATTCGGTTATTCTTGTCAAATGAACCGAATAAGCGAATGCAACGCAGTAATATTGTACAGTCAAACGTTATAAGGAACGTCTCTACTACGAAAAGGCCCATTTAACGTGTGTTCATTATATGTTTTTTTAATTAAAACAGAACAAAGGACGAGGGACTAGATTAAGAAAGGCAGACACAGCGCAGACTCACAACCACATTTTATTAATATAAACGTTCCATTTTTAATGACTGTTTTCCCTGATCATACTGCATGTCCAAATTGGTGTCCAAATTGCCCGAGGCAAGAGTGTTCGAGCTTATGGATCTCACATTGTTGCAAACGTGTGACTCCACGAACCAATCATGTAAGATTGCAAAGCCTTTTGTGCGGATTTGAAGTTTTTTTTCTAGATGGGTTAGTTGTTTGAGGCTGCAGCTACAGTGCCTTAAGCTGTCAACATCTCTCTCAGGACAATGCCAAAGCCTCAAGAGAAATAGCAACTGTATGATTCTCAGACACTAAGTTGCTGTGTCGCGAATATGGCAACATCTGCCTCCCCTGTCGAAGGTCCACTTGGCCAGCGCAGCAATGACTACTCACTCATTAATGATCACAATAATACCTCTCCTTATACAACGACCGAATACCTTGAAACCAGTGGAAGAGAGGTGGATATTTGAATGTGCATTTACTTTTTTTGTTACAACCTGTTGTGTTTCCCGCACTTGCAAGGTCTCTCACTGAAGCCCCAAAAGACACCTCTGAATAAGCTTAAAAAAAAAGAGGTACAACTTATGACTACGACGCAAACTTTCTTCAAGTATCATTGCCATGCCGCAGCGTTGTTCTTAGCATATGTATTCATTGATCCCCGTTCTATAACTGCTATAGCAAGGAAATGACAGCTCATCTAAGGCCAGGTGACAACTGTTATCCTCTGAATGCATCTACACATATTGCTCAATTTTGTGTCATGGTGTTTTTTGTTTTTTTCTACAGTGTTACATAGGGAAACAAAATTTTTGTTCAGTGATTCTCATTCTGTGCCATCTTCAGTTGTCCATATCCACATGTACAAACGGTTTAAAAGGGAATAAAGAGCGTGAGAGCTTTCAATTGTCATCTCCTTGTTGCACTGTGGCCTGCCATGCTGAACGGGTGATAAACGGCCACTGTCTTGGCTGCAGGGAAAGAGTTCACAGTGTCGCTAACCACACACAAACTTACCGAACGCCGTTCCAGCTAAAGCCACCCTGTTCGTTGCTTGTCCTGTTGATGTTTGCTAAAAGGTTAGAGCGTGGATTGCATCCGGGCCCGCCTTGCCCACCGTGAAAAGGGAAAACCAGACGCTGTCGGACCACAATTGCTTGGGCAGGAAGCACTTTGGATTGACTTCACGGAGACTTGTGGTCATCAAATTTATTTGTTTTGTTCCAGCATGAACGCGGGAAAAAGTGGCAAGTTGTACGAACCACCTGCGGACTACGTTCAGTGCGTCTTCAACTTCAAACGGCCGCCTGATAGTTGGAACTGTCGTCTGCTCTTTTAAACGGTTCTGCTCGTCGTCTGCTCTTCCAGATAACAGCCGCCTGTTGACCAAACGTTGGCCGGGTAATTGCTATGAGAAGTACAGACCTCGAAAGACTGTTAAGTTTGAAGGTTGGTTGGGGTAAGCAGGCACGGTGTAAACATTACATACAAGATGTTTATCATAGTTTCCAGTGGCCACCCGACTTGTTAGGACTGATTCACTTGGTCCGATTCTGCTGGCGATTTTCAGTATCGACTGGGCGCGTACGTCCCCGCTCCTTTACTCCTACTCTGACGGTCTGACCTTCATACTCCGAGTGCAGCAACTAAACGGCGCATGGCCTAGAAGAGCACGACACACTGAAACTATCAACGAAAAGAAAAAGCTCCTTCCGACCGCACGGGTATGACGAATGCGGCATCTCGTGGACGCGGGTGCGAGAAGCCGAAATTATTTGGGAGACATATTAATTAGGCCCCCGCGTGGAGCGGCAGAGTCTAAAGCAAAAAAAACGGCGACTTCAACAAGTTTCTAGCAACGTTTTAGTAGACCTGAAATTTTTGAAGACTAGCTTCGAGCACATATGTGGAATGTTACTTTGTGCCCATCTATTTATTGACCATATATAATGTTCAGATTTAAAGTAAAGACAACATTCTTGAACCCGCTTCTCGACGCAGAAAACTCTAGAACCTCTCAGATATTTCGTGCCTCCGTCTTGCAGTGCCAGGCAGAAGCCGTCTATGTCCTACACCGATACCGGCGCACCGTCGTTCAATAGATTGCATGTCAATTCGTTTTCAAGCGAGATGCGCGAACAAACCTTTCCCGGAATGCTAACTGATGCTTCGGCTTTCTTATCTAACAGGCCCTTCTCCTGGCAAATAGCGAGCGTTCGGCGCGCGTTTGCCGAGCGGATTCTCGTTGTCTTCGCGAGATATGAGCAATCTCTCCGTGTGCCCCATGGAGATCGTCGAGAGGTCCGGAGTAGTTCTCCGGGCAGCCTTTTTCGGGAGGAGGACAATCCGTCTGTCTATGCTAGATCGCAAACTCAACGATGAAGTTAACTCAATCGGTCGCTGATTGGCTGCCCTTTTGATCACGTGGTGTGACGTTGGGATTGAGTTTTTCCCTACGGATTTCGATGGAGTTCGAGCTATGCTGTTGAAATAATAAAGTTAGCGGTGACGTCAAAATGTTGTCACGATTCAGTTTGGCGATTGAGATAACTTTGTACTAGTCAGGCAGGCGAAATTCTGCTCCGTGGGACCAGCTTCGAATCAACGAACGGAAGATGGACTCGCATTCTTGGAGCGACCAACCGACCCGGGCCAGACGGTCGGCCGTTAGAAATGGTTACTGATCGAACTTGACTAGCCGACCCACGCCTCAGCCGATTGATCTTTCCGACGACCGGTGACAACTGTCACTGCTTAGCTGCAGAAATAACACGCGACACGGGCTGGGCGAAATTATCCGTACCACTGAGCCCATGTCAGAGAAGACAACCGTGTTCGCAACCGTATCCATTCGGCCACCTCGAAACGACTGAGCACGCACAGGGATTGCCATCGGTGGAGCCGAGGTTGCTGGTACCTCTTTATTAAACACAAAAAGGTAACAAACCATCATTTCACGGTCGTTGTCTAATCTGTTCATGCTTTATTCCACGCAAAAACCCCGGCGGCGAGCAGTGTAAAAAAAGTAAACAATCAGGGGCGACAAAATGAACAGGCCTAACCTTGCGTCTGCCTCCTTCGGACTGTCCGTCGTTCTTTTTCTCGTTCTTCCTCTCAGGATAACAAAGGTCAGCGCTTGCAATTTGACACGCTCCAGTCCCGGCTTTGCATTCGTTATCTACGCGAGATAGAAGCGTTCGAGCCGCCACAATCCCGCGTAAACAACCGACGGATCCCAACAAATCCAACTTGACGTCTCGGCCTTTACCGCCAATACGGCGAACTTGCGAACCTTGTTTCTTTCGCCTTTCCAATTCTTTTCCAGAAAAAGCAAGAGCCAAAGCCCCACCGACCGCTGCCGGAGCGCTGCTGAAGCACTCCCGTATATCCGCGATCCCACCGCTGCCACCAGCTGTTGGGGTTGGCCGAGCAGGGCTCCAGGATACGGCAAGAAAGACGACTCCGGAAGCAGAGCTGACGGACATTTTAACCGCAAGCAGGCTCGCCGAGAGGCGAACTCCGAAGTACAAAACCGGCGGCGGCGCGACCGACTTTTATCACCTGCTGCCAAGACCAACAAAAGAAAAAAAGGCCATGCCGAAGATACCGTTTTCGGCGCGGCAGCTATCAACAGTTGTGCGCCTGTGTGCGCTTCGCCAATGTGTGAAAAAGGGGACACATGAGATATGAAAACGACCGTTTTCGTCGGTTTAGTTTGGGTTCGGTGCTGTGTGCGTCTCAAACGCTCTCGTGACAACGTTCTAGAGGTTTGCGAAATTATTCGCACTCCCAGAGGTGTTGTGAAATCACCATCTCAACTAGCAACAGCCGGGTCTTCACGAACAACAACGAGGTGCCGAGAAGCGGCGGTATGACTCCGAGCGTGATTGGTTCGGTCTTGGTGGTTTTTCAGGGTGGGGAATCTGTTTGCCGGAATGTTACTGCCACAGCTAATGAGGGGCGTTAACGCGAGTTAACTCCCCTCATCAAGTACGGTGGCACAGATGGTGAAATTTTATTGGTGTGTAACACGTCGCAAATCTGCGGCTCCTAGGCCACGACGTGGACCCGGGCGAATTACGACGTGCAGGGACCCGGGCCTGGTGCTGCTCGTCCACGCCGTGTTTTCTTGCGCGGCCACCCTGGCCGCGGACTTGGCTGGAACCCGGGCTTGAACCAGGCTGCTGCTGCTGCTGGCCGCCGCTCGCCCTCCCCCCTCGGCAGACACGTGCGAGGTTCCCGGTACTCCCGCACGTGAAACATTGTTCTTGGGCGAACTGGCACTGTGATAGGGAGTGCGCTGCACCGCAGCGGCTGCACGCACCGCTCCTTGTCACCATCTTGTTCACCGCCGCTTCCGTGCCTTCGTCGACGGCGAGCCGGCCGCACGCGCTATCTCGCTGGCGTCCTCTGCTGCGGCTTCCATCGCCTGCGCTGCCTTTATCGCGCCGTCCAGCGAGGGGTCGGGGAGCTCCAGGAGTTGCGTCTGCATGGCGGGGTTGTTGATGCCGCAGTCGAAACGGTCCCGGAGTAGCGAATCCAACTGGTCGCCGAAGGCGCAGGTGTTCGCTAACCCTCGTAGCGCAGCGACGAACTGCTCGAGGGTCCCCCCGTCCCGGCGGTTCCGGTTTTCGAAGCGGAACCGCTCCATAAGCGTGGACGGAGCCGGGCTAAAGTACGAGCGTAGTGCGAGTGCGAGCGCAGCTCACCCAGCGTTTTCACGTGCGGTGTGGCCGGCTTGAGGAGGTCGAGCAGGAGACTGAAGACGCGGGTTCCGCAGCTGGCCAAGAAGATGTTCCGCTGTTTCGCCTCGGGTGTGTCGTTTGCCCGGAAAAAACACGTGGACTTGTTCTTCGTAGGCTGGCTATAGTCGGTTACAAGTCAAGAAGGTAGGAGAAGCTCCTCCCACAAGTGTGATGCGCCTGTTTCAAATCTCTCCGCAGTCGAAAGAAGAGTTCACTGGAAACGCTCTTTGTTCCGCTTCAATGGATTCCCACTTGTCTCCGATCCCACTTTTTAAGAAAGCGACCTTTGTATTCATCGGAGAGGGAACCGAGCCCCTGAAAGCAGCCTTTGTATCCATCGGGGGGGAAGCTAATCCCCGAAAGTCGTATTTGTTTCCGTCGGTGGGGGAGAACTCTAATCTCCCTCTCGTGGCTTCCACAGTGCTAAGTCAAAGTCGAAAGATAAAGCAAATATGTACTGAAAGGCAAGACCCTCCTCGCGCGTTGGCCGCGACGTCACGGAAACGGTGGGACGCTATTGGATGCGGAGGTGGCGGAGGGATATCTGATTCCCTTTGAGAGACATTT